TCTCCTCATCCCTCTCCACACCAAGTCTTTGTAATCGTCTGCCTCTGCCTTTATCGCGAGCTTTAGGACTTCTGGGAAATCAAGCCTGTCGCGCGGAAGATCTCTAAGTATACTCTTTTGCCTACCTTTGGACAAGTGTCCGATGAAGATAGTACAGCGCTCGACCTCTGAGATCTTCCCCTTCTTCATCAGCACGTCGGAGATCTTTTGGAAACGCATCCCAAATGCCCGTACGCTCTCATCTTCATCTTGAGTCATTGTTTTAAGGTCCTTGATGGAATACTTGTCATCCTTCAATTTGTAAAGCTCAACGAGGTTCTTCTTGTACGTAGTCCATTTTCCCTCCTTCGGTCGAGCTTCCTTAACTTCCCTACCAAGACTTGGGTCCACATTAAATAGGAAGTTCTCAATAATCTCTTCCTCCGACCACTGACTCCGGCTGGCGTGAAGCTCCCACTTCTCCAGATATTCTGTGATACCATAGCCCCTGAAGGTAGGAGGCTCTGAGACCTTGTGCGTAATAATATAGCGGTCCTTGCTCTCGTAAGGGAGTGGATGTGACTCCCCTGTCTGGGGGTTGAAGACTCGCCTGAGCGGCGCCCTGTCTCTATCTCTGTCCCTCCAATAGGAATCCCTCAAATTCTCTCTCCAGTCGTCTCTGTACCTATCAGTTATGGTGTCCCTCCGCTCTTACTCGGGGGAGCGTCGCCTTGTCGTTTCTCGTCGTCCGCTCGAGGTACCCGTCTTTAGAGCCTCGTGTGGCTCTGTCGCAACTGTTTCACCTCTCATGTCGCGCCCTCCGTCATTGGTTTGGTTAGCCCATCTCAGCGGTGCTTCTTGCCTAATTCGTTCCTTTAGATCCCTCAGTGCTCGATCGGGCGATGCCCTGTACTCTTCTCCCGCTTCGCCCATGGTCGGTTGTGGCCCCATCGTGTCGGGTTCCATTGGACCGCCAGAAGATGCAGTTAGGTATTCTAGCCAACTGTTACAGCCCGACCCTATGACAGTCGCTGCAGCCCGGACCCGTTTCTCTGTCACGACTCACGTCACGTCCGCCTCCAATCTTAGCCCTTAACTGCCTTGATTACCACCTCCAGTATCCCGTTCCGGTCGCAGATCTCGTGTTCTCTCTCTATCCCAAGAATCCCTGTGTCTAAGTAACCTCCCCTTCGGGATCGGTCAACAAGGTCGTGCCTGTTCGGATCCACAGTACGCCCGTGACATGACCTCTATCCTTGAGACGGATTCCAATCCCAAACCTAGCCAATGTTTTCTGATCAGCACTTCTCAAGAGTCCCTGAGCGTCTCTCTCCGTCTTCCTTGCTAGTTCTCCTAGCCCAGTCTGAATCGGTTAGCCCGCTAAAGGCCCTCCTACTGTCGCCCAATGTCGCCCATCGACCTTTCTAGCTTCCTCTATCCTTCCAAGAGCTTCCAATTTCTATTTCCACTACCTTATCTCCTCAATGGTTACGAGGTCATCTGTCTAACAGCTGAGGTAAGTTAGTGCTATAATGACTTGTAGCCTCATCGCCGACCGCTCCAATATGTCATAAAATGTCTCAATGTTCTCACTATCTCCCCCTTGGTCTATCGCCTCTAAAGTCTTCATCGTTTCCTTCCAGTACCGGTTGTGAGCGGCTAACACCCTGAGTATTGCACCATCTGTTACTACTCTCCCTAACTCTCCAGCTTTCCTGGCTTCGCTTATCTTCAAGCTCTCAGCCTCTCTGGTCGTCTCGTACCATGCCCTTATCCGAGACTGCCCTTCGAAGGGTGTTACTCGGAGTACGTATTTTATCCTCCGTCCTCCTTCTATTCCAATCCAAAGCCCTGTCCCCCTTGCTTACGCAGGGCACGACGGAAACACTCTGTCTCCTCAACTATGCACAGTCTGGTATGGAGCTGGAGTTCTATGATCACTAACACTAATGGTCCATCCAGTCT